CCCAGCCGCCCCCAGGGCGGGGCCGCAGGGCCGGGGCGGGCCCTGGAGGCCGTGGCTGCGGTGAGGCCGCGGCCCCGGGATGTGGCCGGGGGCAGCCCGACTCTAGGGCCGCGGCCTTTGCTGAGACTGGACCAGGGAATATTTATCTCCAGAGGCCGCATCGAGACTTTTGTGCTTGTATTTGTCTTTTTTTGTGAAGTCCAGTCGGATATCACCGGCGGCTGCGGCCCTGGGTAGGGGGCTGGGGTGGGACAGGTTCTGCTGGTCCCTTCCCTAGCCCCGGTCCTTCCCCAGGTCCGACCCCGCGCGGGGCCCCTCCGCTCGCACGCTGCCTGGCAGGTGCGCCGCCTGGTGGGTCCGCTGGGCGTTGCGTGTGCACGCACCTGCGCAGGAGCCAGCGACCTGCCCTGAAGCGGGGTGGGGTGCGGAGTCCCTCAGGAGGATCAGGCAGGAAGGTGACAGTTACATTTTCCAGAATGCATCCTGGTGTGCGGAATCACCCACACAGCCTCACTGAGCAAGTTTTCTCTTTAAGGCACTTTTCTCCTCTTCCACTCCTAGGGACCGTGGAAGGTGGGGACGTGTAGTCACAGTATTGTCTCGGCCGCGGAGCGGTGCTGAGGGGCGACTGTGCCTTGAAGCTTCAGTTCTGGCCTGGTCTACCTCCTGCTTTGTTCCCACCGTTCCGCCTGTGCCGCCCCTCCCCCTGCGGCCCCCGCCAGCAGGAGAGGGCATAAGAGTCCCCGGGGCAGGGAACTGGGGCAGGGCTGGCACAGGGCACTTAGTGCGGGGGCTCGGGGATGCCCTCACACCAGGTCCAGTCGTGCTGTGTACTGGCTTTGCCTGGGAGGGGAGAGCCCTCTAGTGGGGAAGGTTGGGCGACGCACCTGCCCATGCTTCTGTCCTGAGCACTTGCTGTGTCAGCCTGCAACATCAGACAGCGACGCCAGGCAGCGTTGCACGTTGGCCCTGGAGTCACTGTTCCTCCGCCCCGGTCTCCTGCTGGGGGCCGCTGCAGGCGGTACTCCAGGTGTGATGAGGGGCCCTCGAGTCCCTTGCGCAGAGACTGGAGCGGATGTGCTGAGCCTGCCTGAGGCCGAGCCATGCCACTTTACCAGCTACAGCTGAGTTCAGACGGTGGCCGCTGCCCACC